TTATTGACAATTCAAATCTTATTTTGCAGGATATATTATAAAATATTTAAAACCAGATTTTTTTCATATTTGATTTTATCGATCAACACCTGCATAATCTAACAAAAAAATATCTCTTTTTTTAATCCGATATACCAATATCTTCCTACATTTTTTTAAATAAAAGCGCGCAGTTTCCATCGATACAAATTCACACGATATATATCCTGTTACTAACTTCACGTACGACGTCACAGTGACGTGACGCCAACGTCACACGTTGGTGACGACGGTGATTTCGAAGGGCCGCCATATTTGGAAAAGCGAGATATAAAATTTGCGTCGCGTCGTGTCGACGTGGAGGGATGCACGAGCTTTATTATCATTTTATTCGAATGCCCGCGCGCGAAATGCGCCGCGTTATAACCCGTCTCGCCGCCGGGTTCATCCATCCTCTTCCTCCTCCCGTCCACGTCCCCGGGGACTGGCGCGTCCCGGCGTCGTATAATCCCTCTCTCTCACTCTCCCTTAGATCCTTAAAACGGCGGGAGAGAGAGAGAGAGAACCGGGACCCCCGACCGCGAAGAGCGCGGGCGACGCAGGAACGTTAAAATTTAAGGTTTCCGTCGACACGTCGCGACTCATAAATTTCCGCGCTCGAACGCGGCTTTTTCCATACCTTCTTATTGCCGCTGCTCCGCCGCCATGTCCTCCTCCCCCGCCGCGATCTCGTCTCCTCTCTTCCTCTGTTGGCGACAAATTGCGCGCACACTTTGTCCGTACGCGGAAACGCGAACGTGCACTTACTCACTCGACGCACGTTTTCGTCCGCGCGCGAGAATCTCTCCCGAAAAACCGATTTATTCGCGAGCCGGCTTCTTCTCGCGCCCTTTCACGCGCGAACGACACACTTCGATTAACAGCTACTCGATAATCGGTAGCGCCCCCCCGCGGAGTAATAGCTTCGAGAAAGCGGGAGAAATTGACAAATTTAAATCTACATTAATATAGAATCAGGAATCTGTCATTAACAGATATGCTATTAATTTTGAGACACCCTGTATATGTTTACAATATTTGTATGTATAACTTTTTGGAAATATATATGGATATAGAATTTCTTGTTAAATTCGTACTTAAAACAGTACACTTTGCTTTGCCAAAGAAAGCGTGTGTTTACAAAGGAATTCTTTTGAATAAAGAATTTTCCTCTCCGATAGAATATTTTCCTTTTGTTTTCTTCTTAGCAAGTTCTACAACGGAGAATTTTCTTTAGCGTTGCTCTATCTTTTTCAGTTCAAACGACGATTAACAGTATTCTCTGTCATTACATGATATGCAAAATTTTTATTCACTGTAAGAAATAAATGTGTACTCTTATGAAATTCAAACTCACGAAATTTTCGCGCAATGCACGGCGTGCTGCCATCTAATGGCAACAGCTTGTATCTTGCTTGCTAATTTAACATTGATAATTTATCGACATAATATTGAACATTTAAATGTGAAACAATATATTCACATACATTACTATATTTTTGTAATTATTAAAATTCCCGTATAATAAAACTAAGAATACTTAAGTTAAAAAGAACACAAAAGGATGGTTATATATATATATATATATATATATAACACATCGTATATATACTGTCAACGGTTTATTTTGTATTTTTTTCTTTTCGCTAAGTTATTGGAATGTTAAATCAAACATGTTTGTTTCACATTAAAAAAAACTCTGCGCGACAAGATCTTCCCGTAAAACTTACCTTTACATAAATAACGAAAATATTAAAGATATATAATAAAAAAAATCTCTCGTTCATTTTCCGCTCGCAAGTGCTATGGACATACTAGATGAAATAATCATCGTCATCGAGATCTATATATTGTCGCAATATAACAAATATATTTATTAACTTTGTTCGAAATCGCATTTCAATTTCGCTCGTCAACTTATGTGCAGTAAAACAACGTGAAAATGTATACAGTCTCGTACATTAAATTGTTGATAACGCAATTATTGCTTTCGCTTAGGAATTTCAAGTCCGAATACATTTGGAAATTATCCTTTTTTTACTGCTATAGTTGTAAATCTGGACAATGTTCGCTTTGCTCCAAATTTTGCGAGGTTTTTGTTATAACGATAGCATCAACGTTAATTAAATATGCATATTATAATATTATGCTGAATAGTCAAACTCGCGACTCTCCCTTTTTCTCTCTCATCACGAGATGATTAAATACTTTGCGGTACAACGTTAAATCGGATCCGCACCTTCATACACATATAAAAACCAATTCGCATTGCAATTTGAGTTGTGTCAAAAATTATTGTAGGATTCTATGTGCAAAATTGGGCCGATTAGGCCGACAGAAAGGGTGAAAATTACAAGAATATTTTCTTTTATAAAAAATTACAGCCTCGATTAGAGACATTAGAGTTTTTCTATGTCTATAAAAGATATCTGTTCAAAACTATAGATCAGATCAGTAAGTGAATCACAATTTATGGAGTAAAAACATTAATAATCGAGATTATATAGCGTGCTCCACCACTTGTAGCTTTAATTGTTGAATGAATTAATGCGCTAATGGTCGAACACGCTGTATATTAGTCTACGATCGTATCTGCTATCAAAAAGATGTGAAAATTTACAGGGGCTATAAAAATAACGTCTACTAATTCCAGATATCTCTTTACAGGTCTTAACACGATTTTTGTGCCCGGTATATGTATTAAAGAAGTACGGTATAGCGAACGTATGTTACTACTAAGCAACAATATTTAGCGAGTAGTGTTAATACTGTCTCATACGCGGCATTATTACAATAATTCGTTTTTGCATTATTTAAAATTTAAGCGATTCGTCACAATAGATTATGCATATTTTTTACCATTATATATATATATATATATATATATATATATATATATATATATATATATATGTTTGATTTATCTGACGTTCAATTACCATCCTTCTTTTTATTCGCGCAGCATGTTCGAGCTAAATATGACTATATGCTTTTCATTCATTTCTATTTACACTGAATATGATTTTCATATTGCAAAATTGGAATCACACAATCGCATTTAACGCTGCTTAACTGTCGTTGACGAGTATGCAAAACTTTTTCTTCGCATAACACAACGTAATGCTGTTTTACAAAGTTCTCTACTCCAACTAGTTTGCTCTCATTAACTAACAATAAGCCGTAAACAATTTCTTAAGCTAGCTCTATCATATACATATATAGTAAGCCGTACAATTATTGCACACAACTGCCCGTTTCTATGAATGGACATGCATTTAATGATATCTCGAGATTTTTTTAAGTGATAACACGCTTGTGCGATATCATCGAGAATAACATTTAGATAACATCTCTTTTATACTTCATACTTTGTATGAAGAAAAGTTGATAAGATAGGATTATTTGATTGGGCTGTGTTTTCGTTTATCCAATATTCAAGTTTAGGATAAAAACGATTATAAGTCTACACAAAACGTATTATTTGCAAATAATTTGAGAATGCCTTTATTATAAGTAAATAATCATTAATAATTTTTCAAATAATAAATTTTAACTAAAACAAATAAGTGCAGCCAAAAAAAAATTTCTAGTAAGTGGTTGCATTATTTGCATCATAATTTCATGCATCATAATTTCATACATCATAATTTAACATAAAATAATCTCACAAGTTTTAACAGAATGTTTAAAAATGATAAAATTATGAGTATTAAAGTTATTGCTTAAAAGTGCATCTAAAAGCATATAATTTCACGTAAACATCATGAAATGTCGGCATGTAATAAAAAAAAAGAAATATATTTCGAGTAGACGGTAGAAAAGAAAATTAATTGTGTGTATAATATAATTATATGTCGTAATTATAAAACTTAGTATTACTCAAATGTTTCTCGATCGATGTGTTTTGAAAATTACAAATATTTGGATATATACAAATTATATTATATACAAATTATTTGTCTCTTTTTTATACACACAAAATATTTACTACTTTGTCATCGTTTATATCCTCGTTAAATAATATATACCAGTAAAAAAAGATATAAATAATAATGCTTTTAATATACACTTATTTCACTCAAAATATATCGAGAATTATTATAGATATAACGAAGATATAAACATGTCGCATGTATATGTATATATTTATATGCACGTATGTATACATACATATACAATATATCATTTATCTGTACATATACAGCAGTATTACAAACGTATACAATATTTTACACTGTGATGTACATCTGTATACGGAAACAGATATAATACTATTTTTACATTCTATTCTACAAGAACTGAATCTACATGATGTAAATCTACAATTTAAAGAAAACGTAATCTCGTGGTAGCGTAATCTCCAAGGAAATGTATTCACATCAACTATTTATGACTTTTGACGGTTTTTGATTCTACAATTTTTAATTTGCAAAAATCGACGTATTCACAGTGTCGGTTTTTTCGAACACACACTAATATATCGTACTTATCGAAAAATCCCGGCTTTGTAAGTAGTATTTTGGATGGAATGCTTTTATCGGAGTCACATTTGATTATCTAAACTCACATTTTTAAAAACCGTGTGGCAAGATCTCTCTCGTAGAGGAATGTAATAGAATCCTTATAGAGTTAACTGATGTCATTACGATCTAAAAATTCGTAAAAATCCGATACGCGAATGAAATTCATTAATACTGAATATCGCATTGTTGTTTCCTTCTTTAATAAAAGGCAAGCATTTTGAATTTTTAACGGAAACATTTCTAGCCAAAGTTCTGGATCTTAAACCTGTTAATCTTGTTAATATTTTGAATTCAGTTTTAACAATAAAATAATGTGATATTACTCTCCTTTCAAGAAAATTTTTCAAAAAATATGTGTAATTAAAATATCGCACTCATTATATGAAAATAAATCAAATTCAATCTCTTCGCTTTCATTAAAGATAATGGACGAAGTAAACTCTCTGACTAAAAAGTTAATACTGCAAACTAAGCACGTTATATGTTCGAAACTTACATATTATGAATAAAGAGATCAAATTAGTAACAACGAGATTCAATCATCGTCAGGGATTACGCACGTTACCTCGACGTTATCTCGTAAAAGCTGTTATTTTCGCGCGTTTTAATTTATAAAGCGGTACTCTCTATTGGCGTCGTTGGACGATTAGGTGTACAGCACCTTTCGGATGTATGGCACAAGTCCGGTGTATGCCTGCCGTCCCTCATCTGCGCGAAATCGACATCCGCGAAGAAATCGCTCTTCATAGTGCCGAGTGCGCTGTCGGAGCCGAAACTGTCCTGTCTGCAAATATCGATACCCTTGTAGCATCCGGTATAATCGGCTAGACAATTCGTCTTCAAATCGCTGTCATAAATAGAAGTCATCCTCGAGCTCTTGTTAGCATCGCCCATCGATTCAGTTGCAACAGGACGATTACCGTCGTTATTCGCCCTTTGCCTATTAGGTGTAATAAGGTCATCGCACTTGGACACGCTGGAGTTGGAATAAAGACTGTCTGTATGATATAGACCTGAGATATGTTTTTTAAAGGAGTCATTCTTGCGAAAGTCATCCTTCGTGTAGGTATTGAACGGCGAGTAATCTTTGTATTTAGACGCGCAATCTAATATTGTGAGACTTTCCTGCCTGGACAAGATGCTGCCGACATCGGACACGTTTCTTTCCTGTCTGGATAATCTATCTTTGACATCCTCCTTTCCGATAACATTCTCCTGGTTCGGTGGGATTTTCGATTCCAGCGATTTCTGTAACGATGAAACGTCGTCAACTTTGACAGTCTCTTTATTAGAAAACGCGTTCTTCGTGGTCTCCTTAGTCGGCGATATCTTGGTCCTTCGCAGATACGATCCGGTAGATGGTTTCGTGCCTTCGCCGGCTGCTCTCTTTGGATCGATGTCACCGCAGTTTATATCATTACGATTATTAATCGCTTTATTTTCCTTTTCCATAGCGCCGATAGATTTCCCGATTTGCCGTAGATAAGAGCCAACGGAGCTCGCTGCATCCGGTATTTTAAATTTGTTTTCCGATTTCGCCTTACAACCGCTCGTATCGTTGGATTTCTCTGTCGATTTATGTTTTAGGCTATTGCTAATTTTATACGAGCCTTTACTGTCAATTATATATTCCGAAGCGTCGGAAACTGTACACGGACTCGCGTTTCCCACGTACTTTATCTTCTCTATAGTGGGCACTCGGGTTAAATTATGCTCGCTCGCGCGCGTATCAATCTGTCTCGGATACGTCTCCTGTTTCGAGTAAGCGTAGGTATTTGGAATGTCGGGAGATGTATCTTTTAACTTGGCATTATTATTATTCCTTAGATAACGTCCACTAAAACCGCTGGAATCAGGTGAGATCATAACGTCGGACTTCTCTTTGTCAAAGTCTTTTGATTTGGAATTTTGTCTCGAGTAACGTCCCGTATTGCCCGAGCTGTCGTTACTTTTGCTGTTCTGTCTCGTATATCTGCTACGCGGACTAATGACTTCAGGCACCTGAAGCGTATTAGATGTCGGTACAGGCTGTATTTCACGTTCTAGTGTACTATCGTCGCAACCGCTGGACCGCTTTTTCTCTTGATGCACCTGGCCCTCCTTGATAGGTTTCAACTGTGGCGCCAAAGTTTCCGGAGTCGTGGACTCACTACTGCTCGGACTCGGTCCTTTATAATTTCTAATATCAAAATCCAAATCTGCTGGCAACTCGGCGCCTACAGACAAATGCATAGCTAATCCTTCCAGCCAGACTTCCATAACTTCGAACGGTGGCCTCTTATCCGGATTCAGATCGCAGCATAGGAACGCGATCATATAAAAGGTCTCGGGACAATTGGAGCAAAACTTCTCTTTGAAGACATTTTGATTCAAGCCAAAGTCCGACGATCTAGGCAAGTAGTCGGGATCCGCTTGAACTCGACCTATGATCTCGCAGACGACAATGCCGAAGCTGAATATATCCACTTTCTCGTCGTATTTATTGCCTTTCATCATCTCGGGTGCCATCCAGTAAGGATTCCCGACAACCGTGTACCGTTTCTTCCGCTCTTTCTTCGAAGCCTTCACCTCTCCGTCGGAATGTCGATTATATTTGCGATTGTCCGGCGAACTGCCGTTCTGAATGATCCTCGCTAGACCAAAGTCAGCGACAACCACAGTCTTATCCTCACGAACAAGACAATTATGCGAATTCAAGTCGCGATGAATGATGTTCATGGAATGCAAGTAGGCCATGCCGGCAGCAATATCTTTCGCAAAGGACGTACGCTGTTCCCACGGCAGTGGTTCGTTCGTGTCGTGAAGCAGGGCTCTTAACGTACCACCCGCTATGTACTCGGTAACCAAATGCAGTTTCTTGTCCTTATAAAGAACACCGATAAATCGAAGAACGTTGTTATGATGTAACGAGCGCAGCACTGCAACCTGGTGAAAAAAGTATATAAGAACAATTGACCTAATAACAATTTAAATACTGAATTTTCAAAAAAATGCAAAATCTGAGTGTTCGAGAATATTAAAACATGCATATTTTATGTCAAATAAAATGTTAATATATAACATATGTATATGTTAATTTAAATTATTAATAAAAATGAAATTACCTCTTTTAGGAAGTTCTTCTGTGCGTCTTCATCCACTCTATACAACTCCTTAAGGACCATCACTTCATCCGTGTCACGATGCGTGACCTTGAATACTTGTCCAAAGAATCCTTTGCCTAGAAGCTCGCCCTTCACCAAATCACTCGCTCGGAATATTCTCTGATTCTTTGGCTCTACGCGGAAGGATCTGGTTCGGCTCAGATCATAAGTAGGATTCGTTGGAGAAGATCTACGATGGATTTCAATTTGATAAATTATCATATTATTATCATAATTTTATTCATTACTAAATACGCTCATCTTGACTTACCCGTCAAGTAATCGCGACATAGAACTACTACGTTCCTTATGCATAGGATCTCTCGTTCTTCGTAATTGTCGGCTCCGCGCACCGCTGATGTAACCCTCATCCCGACGCTTAAACAATCGCTCCTTGCTTTCGGGACTTGTCCTGGGACTGCCGACACATGACAGCATCGCCGAGGACGGTGAGCAGAACGTGGGCCGTCGTGACACCGCATCTGGATCGTGTTCGATAGTTAACTGAAACATCAAAGATATTTATCGTTCAATTTGTGTTAAAACAGCGCCAACGAGACAATATATATTTTAGAAATATTTTAACTTACTTGTAAAACTGTGTCTGAATATTGTATGAGATTTTCGATGTTTTCCACAGGTTGATCTTTAACAGGGGTGCCATTTACCTCTAAAATTCGATCACCAATGTGTAATGATATAAGATCACTGGACATGTTCAATCTGTAACATTTATTTTATTGGGATATTTTTATTGTCATTATTATACACTCTCTGCAGTTACAAGACATGCAAACATTTGCATGCATTATATATTTTCTCTTTACTGTAATATGTTCACATGAAAACACAACATGACGAAAAATAATTGCCAGGATAATGGAATATTCAATTTCATTGATTATAATATATTGATGAGTAAAAATTATAAAAAATCGAACATAATAAAAATTTTTAATCATTATATTATTTTCTTGATTATAATAAATACTTTCAAGCACTCTTTTTTTATAACAAGATAAAGTGAAAATTTGTCAAAAAGCATAAGAAACAAAAAGTATAGCACTCAAAAATATTGCATCAATGATTTAAGTTTGTAGTTAAATTACAAAATAGTACCAAATCCATTGTATGTTAAAGAAAAGATATACATGAAAGCAATTAATAGTTGGAAATCCTCAATAACTATCTAAATTTCTAACAATATAAACTGTCACTTCTTGATATACTACATTTGTAAACATGCACGTGATACAGAAAAAACGATCCTTATAATATGTAAATAATACATAATATATGATTGTCACATGTATTAGTTAAAATTACACAAAACATTTTATATCTTCACATGTGATTATAAAACATTACTAAGATGCGAGCACAATCTGTCAGAATTAGCAATATGTAGTGCATATTATTGATTTGTTATGCAATACCTATGATTAGAGAAGTGGCAGCATAGTCTAAATAGGACCTCCATCACAGAGGCCAGCAGCTTACTGATCTTTCCACGAACATTTCTCATTAACCTGCATTTTAGTTGAATGTTATTAGAGGCTAATATGTGTATATTTATATACCAACTCTTTTATATAATCAAAATTATCATGCACTGTTAAATATTTTAGAAAAGCAACTGTCTTAGGTGTAAGTTTATAATTCTGAATCCTGAAGAGATCGACATATTTTTGTTACATAATATTTTTACCTACATATCTATATAAATTTTAATCTTTAAAAATTCAGAAAATCTATTTTATATTGCATCTAATTTATATTGAAAGAATCGTTTGTGCACGCAGTTTATGAGTAGCATACATATATATAATATAGAAGATATTTATAAAAATTTAAAATATTGTCATACATACTCTGAAATACGCATTAAAGCACCACAACTGCGAGGACTGGGAGCTGTGTCTAATGTGAGTTTGATTCCTCTCTGTTTATCTGGATCTGTCGTACTAGGAGGTATTTCGACCAATCTAATGCTGTGTGGTTTTCTAGCAAAGGGATAATTCGCTGTCCTGTTGAGTGGTTGCATCTGTCGTTTATAGCAAACTCCGCAGTATAATTTGGACCGTTCGACAAGCGCATAACTTTCGCCATCCCCAATAAAAGCACCACAAGAAGTACAGGCAAAGCATTCTGGGTGAAATTTGTGATCGCCTGCCAGCATAACAGGGCCTGTGATGATCTGACCACAGCCCTGACATGCTTCGCCATAAGCGGCCCAATAGTCGTCCTTACAAAATAGTAGACCATCTTTTCAAAGTACCAGGAGGATAGGCCGATATCGCATGCCGAACATCTGAAAAGTATCATTTTGTTTTCAATATAAAAATAGAATGTAATGAATAATATATTCTAGTTGCAATGCATTTCATAGCGCATATAACATTATCTTCTTTATGTATATTGACATTTTTACCGAAAACATTCAATGTGCCATTCTTGGTTCAATGCCTGTATAAATTCATCTTCGTCGATAGCATTGAGACAACCGGCGCATATTAACGTTCCTCCACTTTCCTCACCTCCTAGGTCTAGAAAAAGAATTATCATTAAATTAAAGCTATACATATATACATGAATTTCATGGTATAATCATTTCGATATTATCATCACTAATATTTGGAAACACCCTTTGCAAATATGCAATATCAACAATGAAAACACATACGTAATCATTCTAGATAAGAAAAAAAGCAGGCTACTTGAGGGATATATGTGTCTTGGGAAGGAAACATGAATCACAGATTTGACATTAAGCACGTAAGCTCGACCGAGGAATGTAATCAAGCATCTAACGACGTTTGACAATATTCGTTCGAAACGACGCGTAATCGCGATGACACGGACGTCTTATCTGTCGTGTAGAAGATAACGCGATAGGGAGAACGCATAAATAAACTTCTTAATGCGCGAGAGAGCGTGGGCAATACGGGAGACACACGGAAAATAGGACGCCCACGCGATGCGCGACGCGTTTGACGTTTCGTTGACGTTTGCGCGAGCGGCGTCTCGTCGTCGCGACGACGTCCGTCACATCGGCGAGCTCGTCGTCACCGATGCGGGACGACGCGCGATTTTTTCTCCCAAAATTCACCTACCGTTCGTCGAAACTTCATCCATCACGGCATGTATGTACGATCGACACACTCCCACTCCGCACTCCGCTCCGCTTGATTCTTCCACTCCGACTCGAGCATTGAGCGCGGGATTCACGTAGATTCGAATCGCGACTGTCAGCTGCGATCGCAGCGCCGCGGCACCACGTTGCGGGAAACTTGCGAAACAAACAGTGCAGAATTTCGACGGTGGCCGTTTACGAGTCACGGTATTTTTCAGTGGATTTTCGTTATTTGTGGAATAAGTAGGTATGTCACGATTTCTAATCTTTCTTTTTTTTGTTGTTTAATAATAAAATAATAAAATATAATTATATTACAGAAGAACGGGGGGGGGGGCGACATATATGTACATATTTATGAATATATTAGACTATATATTCTTCTTTTCTTCTTGGCTGCTTGAGCTTGACTCATTAATTGACTGATTGAAATTAAGTCTCAGATCTCAAATCTGAATCTAAATCTTTACGATTTAAAAAAAAAACAAAAAAATTTCACACGTAAAAAAACTGCGATGAAAGAACGACGAAATTGAAGCTATTGAAGATAGAGTTGTAAGTATACATATATATAGGATATAAAAACATACAAAAAGTATAAAACTTTTATCGAGAGTCGAGAAAAAACGAAAAATGCACCTTTTATTTGCATATATTTAGATTTTAAGAGATTGATTCGTTTTACTTATTAAACATATATTTTTACATATATGGCTTTCTTATTTCTACATCTTATATCTGAATCTTAAAGATTATAAGATTATTAACGCTTTATGAAAATAGTAAAATACTTATCAGAATATTGACATAGTATATCGCAAATGTTACATATATTGACGCTTTATTCCTACTACATAATTAATACTGCATGTAGAAATCTGTCAATTAATTATTCAAAAAATCATTATTTACTATATGTACAATTATCTGTGTTAAGAGAGATAATATTTTAAAATAGCGCACAATTATTTGTGTTAAGGAAGTATATTTTAAGATAGCACACACTTTGTATTATATTTTAAAATAATTAGCAGATAGATCTAAAATACTTGATATCAATCAATTAGAGACATAATTAGACACAATTTTATTGTACCAAATTAGAGTTCAGTGTAATTAAAATAAATCAAATAATTATATCGTATACACTTTGACAGATATACTATATAAATAATAACATACAATACAATATTACTTATTGCTAACTCAAATATTTAAACATAATTTATTTTATTATTCTCAAGAAAGAAAAAATTAATTTGTCTTACTATCTCTTGTAATGAGCAATTTTTTTTCTCTATGATTTTCTCTATAAAACTTAAAGCTTCTATTGCATAGCATGAAATTAAATATGGCAAAATATCTTTTTTTTTTACAGACAGCCAAATTTAATAGACCAAGCTATAGGCATTGAAATGAGGTATACAGTAAATATATACAGCAAGATAATTTAAAGAATAGCATGATCCTCCACAATAAGCTCCAAACAATATCTACATGTCATACTACTACAAAAGGGTTGGCATAATTTAATCTTTAAGAATGTGGTACGTATTTAATAATTTGTATATTGGTGTGCAATAGTAAGGACGGCAATTTGATATGCAATAAACAATGTTGCATTGTTATATTGTAATCACATACTGGGTCGGTATCCCTTTTATTTAGGCCGTTTTTGAGGCTGTCCTTCTATCGCTTCCATATTCCTTTGTTCATTTTGTATTTAAAGGCATCAGGGGCACATACTTATCGCTAGGGCGAAACTTGTATTGCGAGCATAAGAGATCGGACTCAGCCTCTTCATAACCATTTCTGCAACAATTTTATCGATCAAATCATTAAATCTTGAATCATCAATATCGACAATAGAGTTATTTGTAAGATTGGCTTTTATAAGATGAGGAAACCTTCACCAGAGAGAATTGTTAGAATTGTTAGATTTCATATTATTTTATGTAGGAGAACCTTCATTAGAGAATTAAAATTGTTAGATAAAAATTTAAAATAATTTAGAACAAACGATAATACCGCCACCATATATTAAATACTCAAAAATGAAAAAAACATTTACAGGGCAAAGTCCTTTATATTTCGAGATCTCTTCGAATAAATGGTGTAACATCTTAAGGAAAACTCCGCCTGAGCATGAGATCCTTAAGTACGAAGGAGAAGGTTGTCAACAGCGGTCTTCGGAATCCTCTACTCTCCGATAATTCGTTTAGGAAATAGCTCGGGGACTTCTCCCATTGCAAAACGCAACTAAAACGATTCTACATTATATAACAAAAACGTATTTAGGTATGTTTTTATAGAGAATATTTTTTTATTTAAAAGGACGATAAATTCCATCTTAGATGCTTCCTATAATTGCTCAAAAATTTTTTTACACCTATCTAGAGTAAATATTTGTGTATAAAATGGATGAATTGAGTTGTAAAATTTTGAAAACTTTATCATTATAAAATATATATACCTTTGCCATTGTGAACATGGTCGTCTCTCTTTGAAGCAGGTGACCTGGATAACGTTGAAGAATAATGCGCCGAGGGTATTGGCCACTTCGGTATTGAGATTTTGTAAACATCTGCGGAATTTTGCATCGCAATCGCAATGCGAGCGAGTAAATGGTGAATTATTGCATATACCGTGTATGCACTGTCCTGGCATTATTGTGTGCGGGCAATGATCGTGTTCCCTGCAACAAGCGTCTTCAGCCGAATGTTGACCTAAATCGTTGTAGCCATCTGTCACGTTTCCAGGTCCACACCATTTGGTACCCGGGTATATCAAACCACCGCCAGGTGCTTGATTCTATGGAAAGTATAATTATTTTTTTTAAAACAAATTCAAAGAGAGATAAATATTAGTCATCGTTTCATGAAAAAGAAGTATATAGAAAAAGTTTTTTTTAAGTAAAAAATGCACTCAAAAAGGAAGAGTAAAAATCGCGAGTAATAATTTGAAATATCTTTATTTTCTTGTAAACAAACGGTATCTTACCTTTCCTTTGTTTCGCGAAGCTTTGCAGGTCTCTTCGAGATCCGCGACGAGGTTGCTGGAAATTTGTCGAACCTTCCTAGGATCCGCACCGAGTACCATTCTCTGGATGACCCCGCGATCATTGTAAAGAGCACAGAAGGGCGCATCGGCGTTCAACTCCACCATCCTGGACATGGTAGTGTCGGCGACGAGGACACTCGCCTCGATCTTCTGAATCCAGAGAATCGGTAGAACGCCGAATAGTAGCGCGATCATCCTGCAACGGTATGTAAGAATCGACAGATGAAATCATGCGAAACAAGTCAAGAGTAAGAAATGACTGGCGAATATTTCGGGAGAGGTTTTCTATATGCTGCCGATGTAAGCAAAAAACATGTGAAGGTCGTTCGACGACCGACCTTCTTCTCGAGTGCTCGCAGCTGCGAAATTTTGACTCACAAGTGGCTTTCGAGAAAATGCGAAAAAGAAGTTTAAAGTATGCGAAGTTTGTGAGTACCAAAACATCGGATTTTAATTAAGATGATACTCGACCGCGATTTTAAATGGCACTCTCCGATATCCCATCAAAGATGTTATTTTATCTCTTCATGACGATAGAATAAAATGAAAAGCGTTGACGCAGTAAAACTTGGTTGCGTATTATAATGTAAATTAACATATTTGTGCAAATTATCATAAATTGACTGAGAAATTATCTAACGATTTTGTTTAATGAGTACTCCTGTACTATCTCTATGTATTTAGCCAATAGATTTTCATACATAGCGAATGTTTTCGGCAAAAGAGTTAAGTGCGATTCTTCACAGCGAATGCATTAACAAGTAAATGCAAATTGTTCATTCTCTGTTATTTCTTATTGTGAAATGCAAATTCACGCTATATACAATTTTTTAAAGTCGATCAAAGTGTCGTATGTCGCGTGTATCTTCGTGTCATCATTTTGTCAAAGCGCAAAATTGTCGAGGTGCGGGCAAACGTTTAAGTCCTCCAGCGGATACATTTAATTCTGAGAATCGAACTAGTCTGTGACCTCTCAGCTCGGTTTGGGTCGTTTCAATTCAGGCCGATCGTGAAAACGAGAGTGCGCGCCTCGAAAGAGAATACGAGCGTAACAACGATGTGGGTCAACGAGGTCCATTGACGAACTTGTCTCTTGAACCTGCGTCGCCGAGGGATGCCGATCGCCCCACAACTACTAATTCACGCGGTTTGGACGACTGATCCAATATATATCACACCGACAGTCATTATTCATCGCGAATCACTATAATCAAGCCATCAAAACTGTTTATGCGTCAGTTCTGCGTTTCTGTCTGGCTCGATGGAGAAAACGCAATATTATACGAGCGAATTTTTTACAAAATATCTACGTTTCGTTATTATATATTTACGCTTTTTAACATCTCTTAAATCGTAGGCGTCTTTTCTTAATTTTTGATATTTTATTTTATATTTTAAATACCAGTAAACTTAATTTGTGTAAATTTAAATAACTTAGAGCGTCTTTTGTGATTTTTAGATAGTGCGTAGACAAAATCTTTCGTATTGCGACATAAAACATACTAACCGATTACGCAATGGCCACAGATCACAGATAGAGCAACGAACTGTCGAAATCGAAAATTACAACGTGTTACAACATGAAGTTTTTAGTTTGAAACGGAATGGGTCGATTGTCGCATTCACAAATCAGACTATCAAAATGTTCAAAATATGCGAGTCTCAAATATTATAGATATCGATAATATCTTTTCTTTAAAAATTTTTTCTTTGATTATTATTTATTTATGAAGGCAAATTTTTTATAACAATTGAAATTACTTTTTTCGAGAAAAATTTTCCGTAACAAAAATTGATCGTAGAGCTTATACATAAAATGTATATACATATTATTGCATTTTCTATTTTTGTTTTTCAATATAACTTGTATAATTGACGATATGGGTCAACGAGGATTGTCGAACTTGTCTCTTGAACCTGCGTGCCAATGTATGTCAGCAGAACAGTTCTTTCATAATTAGACGCAGTCTGGACAGTTTTGTGACGCATCTATAGCATCCCGACGGTCATCGTTTATTGCTAATCGCGATTATTATCGAATCAGTTCGACCGACAGAGACGTACTGACAAGAGCAGTCGCGATCGCGATACAGAGCATAAAATTAAAAAAACAAAGAAAAATACTGTGTATGTGTGTCTGAGTGTGTCTACATTTATTTATATGTAATTCCATTTTTTATATCTTACATTTATGTTTCTATTTTTGAATAATATATAATATATATAATTTTAAATAATATATATATATATATATATATATATATAATATATATAATATATATATTATTATGTGAATTTTACATATATTATTATTTATATGATTCTGTAATTACGTAATATTTTTAAAATGATTTTCAGTATTAACGAGACTATACAAGATGCGAATAATAGAGGACACACATATGTACAAGTCTATATATGAAAAAGATGCTCAAGATCACACAACCCACACACTATGGGCACAGCAACGATAACGAAAATAAAACGCATCCATTCAATAATGTCTGGAGAAATCGTTGGCCCTTACGAAAGACATGCTTCGAGGCATTACAGGTAAATATTACCTAATCTTTAATGTCTGGGATTTAAATTTGGGAAACGTCTTCGATTTTTTTATACGAAAAGAAAAACTTGGAGAATGTTTAGCAGAAAATTGAAATTAATTTTAGAACTGAATGGATGTCTATCAATTTTTTAAATAAATATAAAATAGAAACTTAATACTAAATGCTGACATATTTCAATCATCAATTAATAGCACTTTATAATTTGATGAAAAAACGTACATTAACGTGATACTTTATCTTATATATATATGTATAGACTGTAATATACACGATGGTCCGCTTTCACCGCATTATTTTTCAAAGATAAATTCTTTAGTCAATTTATGCTATAAAAATACCGATGATTGATGATCATTTCCCACACAACTTTTCAATTTTTCGCGCATCGTATATCTTTTTAATTAAACTTTAAATTCTACAAAATTAAACATCTGGAATTAGCTAACAAAATATGTAATATAGTTTCATTATTTATTTGATTTCTTGAAGTTTAATTTGCGCAACATTTTAATGTTTATTGTAACTTTAAAAAAATTGCGTCTTGACATTTTCGCAGTATTTAAATGCGAGATGTAATCTCAAAAGATAAATCAGTTCGAACGAATTGTCGTGAAACTTACTTACGTCGTTCACAAAACAAATTCGGAGATGACCAAAACTGAAAAATCCGCGATTACGACTGAAAGAAGAAGGCACGAAAGCACAAAGTCGGTGGTGCAAGGGTAAACTGCGCACTCACCCCGCATCCCCACCGAGCTCGTTGCACACTGCAGTGCGTAACGAACGGGCAGTGAGGAGGGTGTAGCTGCATTTCTCTGGCTTGCAAACACGATTAATTAACTTTATCATAATGCGCAAGATATATGTTAGGATATCGCAAAATTAGATTTTATTTGAAAGATTTATCGCTGACAATTAGTTTTAGAGATTTCCGCGAACGAATAAAGGGATAAGGGTGAAAAATAAATCGTTATAAAAATAGTCTTATTGTAAAATAGTCTTATTGTAGTAACGTAGAAAGTGTAGATATATATACTGCGATAGTTGAAATAGCGTTATCGAACCGGAATAACAAATGCCGTACTATGACAACAAGAACACGTCAGTATATGAGAAAAGTTGCTTACAATCACGCGAACTTTTGTTTAATAATAAGATTCGGATTTTTGTGCAAGATGTTGGATTGATATATGATGTTTTGTAATTAAGATAATATAACTGTAAAGTGAAACGTGTCATATCAAGTTAATCATTAATTCGTTAAAATTTTGCGATAAAAAGATAATAAATGTGAAATTAAAATTACAATTATATTTGTGAATAAAATATTTCATTCGTTTAACGATTTTTACTAAATATTACATTTACTAAAAAAATAAAATTTACATTTGATAAAAATAAAAAAAGCATATAAAAATCTTACATATTTTGACAATCTACTGAAATAAAAAATAATAAAATTGATTACATATCGAGAGATCAAGGCGAACACTAGTTAATTTTTATTTTTATTATATACAAAACTAACATGAAGAGATAAAAATAGAAAAAAAAACATTTTTACATTAACAAAAATATTACGTTATAATAAAACAAAATTAAAATAAAGGCATTAATATTTTCTACAATTTATTAATATATACAATATATATTAATATATAAATGTACATACGTTGAGAAAGAAATTCGCTATTGAGATCTTGGATCTCTTGCTGCGAAATAACACGACCGCACTTAAAAATCTCAAAGACGACGCGTGCTGCTTATACAATCACGAAATTGGCTGGTCGCTCTTCAGCGGTCACTATCAGACTGATAGTTCGAACGAGACGTGAGAGGATATTAATATTCGCGGTCGTGCATATATAAACGCGTATGTGGTCGCGTTGCACACGCATTAGGGGAGAATCTAAATCATTAATGTAACACAGAGACACTATTTATATGGAGCATCTTACAGAGATCATTTATTTTTTCCAGACTTATATCGTTAAAACATATTGATAAGAAATTTATACGATAGTTTCATTGAGAAAAAAATATGATATTCTTTTTAACATTATAATTTAAAAAGTCATTCTGTAATATTTATACGCTTTTTAAAAACTTTGCGCGAATAGCGCAAACAATATTATTAAATAATTTTTTAATTTTTTAATTAAATTGTTGACGTGATTTATTTACGAAATACACACAAGTTTTATAATTTATTTATATATACTCTATATTATATATTTATATATTATAAAAAAATGATGATTATAATATATTAATTATAAAAAAATTTATATATATATAATAAATTTTATAACTAATTTAATTATTACCACTAATTATTATCACTTTTTATAGTATAATAAAATGTATACGTTTTTTATAATATAATGAATTTTAAGTATGACGACGCAAGTCTTACAATAACAACGAATCAGTATATTTTATTTACATAAATTATACATTTCTAGAATAAAATAAAGAAGTGATACATATGTATATACATTGCGCTTTCTCTTTTTCGGTATGCTTCGTATCTTATTTGGTTTATATGTAGAGTAATAACTGGATTTTAGTAAAATTAGTTGGGGTTTTTTTATATTAGTTACTGAGCTACAGTTAATCAAATAACTTGCAAAGCCTGAGTTTTTCGTCTTTGAATAGCTGTAAGTCAGTATAACTACCTATTATTTAACTTCGAGCCTATTATATTTTTTGTTTAGCAGGTCTTAAGCCTACAAGATGAGAAAACCAGCTGATTTTATCAAAATCCAGTTATTAATCTTCATATAAATTAAATAAGATACGGAGTATACCGAAAAAGAAAAAGCTCAATGTACATATGTATTACTTTATTTTATTCTTTATCCAATTTCATATAGGATTAGTATTTCCGATTTTAATCTCCAAATTGTTTGTCACAGAAGGTGTATTACATTGTTTTCATAGATAAACTTACATCAATGATGGGATGTTTAATATAATTAATGTCAATAATGATTACTGACATAATTTCTAAAACGACAAAATGTCCACAAATAGAAAGTTTATCCATCATTTTTATTTATTTGTATCTTTCCTTAAATTTGTTTCATTCGTTCCTTGTAATTCATGAATACATATGTAATTTATATAAATATGTATATTGTGCTTTTTTTTTTAATTTTATTGATCAAAATTTTTTTGTACATTCTAAACATGTATGATGTATCATATCATATGTTTGTCGAGTCAATTAGTGCTACACATATATACTTTTCTTTTATCATATAAATTTATTTCTAATTGTCATATAAAATTGTACTATATTTCTAAATAAAACAATAGTCAAACATACGTCAAAAAAATCTCGCTCTATAGAATGTGTAATATAGACGTTTAATCGCGTGGAGATTGCGATTAACATAATAATGCAATAAGAAAAAATGGATTTTTAAGGAATCCATTCTACTTCGTTGTTTTCCAATCTTCCATCGTTCCTGGCATTTGTTACGCGGCTATTCTGCTCCGTCGTCGAAGTTGGGTCTTCTTCCTTTCCGGTCAGCTTGTGATAAACCTGGCTTCCGGCTTGAGAGATCCATTGGACACCATCGCCGATCTTTTCTCCCGCTTTGCGCACCACGTTGCCGAGGTTTTCGGAAGTGAAGGTGTTAGGATCGATATTGATGTCCACACCATCGTCACCACGCGAGCAGCCGGACTGCGTAACGATACTCAAATCGAACGGATCAACGCCAAATTGACTCATCCGTTGACGTATCTTGTCCACCTGTGGCTGGTCCAACGTTCGGCTCCTCGAGAGGATCGTGGCGCTCTGTCGATGGGCAAACGTCAGCTTCTGGCACGTGAATATCCCGGCATAAGTGTCGTAATCGGTTGTGAACACCACGTGGGATGCGCTTCCGGCTACACCTAAATCGCAGAAATTTTAGTCACGCAACGCGGAAGCTTGACGTGCAATTAGGATGTTTACTGTCAATAAAGAGCACTAATAAAGAATTGTTTCTCGCGAAATTAGAACGTAGCTAATCGTCAATTTATTTAATGTCTTGTCATTGTCTTGTAATAGATTGAGAGAGAGAGAGAGAGAGAGATATTGTGATCTGCAGTTTGAAAAATTAACTTATCTTCCGCATTATATATATATATATATATATATATATATATATATATATATATATATATAAAGTCGTACAGAGACCTAGTCATATAATACATTGTGAATTGTTATTTATTATAAATAATTTCATTTTTTATAAAAAATCTAAAACTTCATTTGCTACTAAATTGAAATAACATTAATTATTGTTAACTTCTCATTTCAGGTACTTACTAAGCGGGAAACGAACTTCCATACGTCCTGGAGTACTGGGTTCCGGTACAGTCAGTTCACCAGTGTAATGGTATTCGTGTTTCAATGGTGTAAGACCTGCACATATGCATCACGCAATTACGGATAATTCATCCCATTTGCTAGACATTTATCCCATTGACGGACCTTTATGACTCTCGATAAGGTCCGATGAGTTATTCATAGAAGGTGACGTATCTCTTTTCTTTACCAATTGCATGACATGACATCTTGTGTGATTGTAATTTTTAATTGCCTTACCTAAGATCAGATGATCGGAGTCCTGCGTTATCACGTACTCGCCCGGTTCTTCTCCTCGTGTATAGTTGTAAGTGATACATTTGCTACCTGTCGACGTTTTTTGGATGACATACCACAGGCCTAGGAACTGAAATTTAAACAAGCCAATTGTTATTAAAGCAGATTAATTGTGCTTTATAAAACATAATAGAAATTATTCCAAAGTTACAACAATATTCTTTATTACTGATAATGATAAGACTTCGCATTATGTGATCTTCATAAATATAAACTATTATCTGCTTACTCTGTTCATCTGAAAGCCCTGCATAGGTTCCACGATGGGACAAGCGCCCATATGATACGTATGAGCTTGAGCAAAAGCGAGACATCCCGCCAATGCTAAGAACCAGGTCAAGGACTGCATCTTCTAGAAAAAAACAAAAGTCGATAATTAATATTTAAATTCTCGAAGAAGATTAATACGAATCGGATTTCCCTCAATATATATAGTTACATAAGCGTGTTTACAAATTGTAACGCCAGAAATGATTCATTAAATGAATTTATTTATTAAATCGGCTCACTATAATTAATTTATTCCAAATTTGTTAACACATAAACATATATATTATAATTGAGTGAAAAAAATTTATTTATGTAATAAATAATTATATGATAGTATATAATTATCACTCTTATTATGATATTATCTATAAGATAATGAACAATATAAATCGGATGTTATTTTTTATGCGATCATGAAGATTTCGACGGAAACGATGATATAATGTATTTTTTTACAGTTCCAATGTTATTGTATGTTATGATTTATGCAACGATCTATGTACAGTAAGCAAGCAGCATTCGGTGTGAAACAATCTTTAAACTCGCATTTAGACAGCCATGATCTCTCTATATTTCACTTTCCTCTCGAATTTCAAGTACAGCTGGTGAAGTGTGATTCATACATGTTGAACACGCATCACGAAACGAAGACCTTTTTGTCAAGACCTTCTGATGATGCATAAATTGTGACTGTATATTATATCTGTATATTTGGTTTTTCTTTCTATTTTATATAATATAATGATAGATCGATGATAAATATTCGATAAAACTGAGGAACATGATAAATCGCGACCTGTACGACCTTTCCTTTTGCGTCGTACAGAATATTTTCACTCTCGTGAATGTAATTTGATTAATATTTTCCCATTTATTCGTAGGAAATTTATTTTACAGATACAAAATCAGAATTTATTTCGTGAAGGAAAAAACTATATTAATATTATTTTCTCAAAATTCAATTACATCACAAAAATATAAGAATGTCCTTTGTACTCGAATATATATACATACGTATTTGAAAGAGAAGTTAGAGATCTTTAAAATAAGTGAAAGATTTTTAAATAAAGCAATCTATTCAGTTGTAAAGATGCTTACATGAAAAATAAGATTAATTTGTTAAAAGTATGAGTTAAAAGCTTGAAAACTCACTGTAAAGATTGTTACTGCCGGCCTCTCTGCGTTCACACTATAAACACAAGTTTGTTGGAGGGATAGACTTTATGTGGCTGGCGCCCCACTCTCGAAGCAATTACAGATCACACAGACATTTACTCAGAGGACACATAATCACACAGATGAAGATGCAGATGTGTGCAACATATCGCTGTTCTCTGTAAACCATGAATCAGTTAACACTGATTAATTTTTTTATTAGGCTAAATCAACTATCATGTATTTGCACAGCAAACATTATAAATTATCTCTTTAAAATTTTCGATATAATCATTAATTATCATTAACGTCATTCAGCGTTATGCGAATGAGGACGATGACTCATCCACAAATACAAAGGCATAATATCAAATGCTTTCTGAGAATTAATAATTTCTTGTATATGAGATATAAGAGGGTTTTCCTTTCTCATAAATTGAAGTAATTTAAAACTAATTCTACATGATTATACGTAATAAATAGGTTTTATAAAATAGAATTTCGATATTTGTATGCAATTATATAAAAAGTTCTTACCAGTAAAATATGATTTATTTATTTATGAAATAGAAAACTTATAATCTTTACAATTAGTGCCAACACTCTTAGTAAATATAAATTTTCGAACACTTTTATATAATGTAATCATATATGAATTTCAATTACAAATGACTAATCTCATTTTGTATTAATGATAAATTTGTATGACTATAAATTTTATAATTATTCATAGAAGGCAAAGATGATCAGATTTTACAGTTATCTTAATATTAGAGTTGATTTAGAAAATCCATTGCTTTATAAATTAGCGCATATAAAAATTGAATATCACATGCATATTATGCAGCAAAATGAATTTAATATAAGATCAAATTAAATGTAAGAGTGCAAATGATATTTAATATTCATTAAACACGAATCAATAAAACGTTGAACACAAAAAAATGTATGAAATCAACATTATCAATTAAAACAAATAATGTATTAAATACTGCATAAAACTTATTTAAATGTAACATAATATAAGCCTATGATTTTTAATAGCTAAACATCAAAACCCTTTATCACATCAATTTTATATAAAAGTTACTACTAGAAAATATTAAAATAGAATATAAAATATTCTATTGTATTTTTTCCTAACAGTAACTTATATATAGAATTTATGTAATAGACAATTTTGATGTTTAGCTATTAAAAGTCATAGGTTTCTTTTTACACATAGAATGATTTCCACTAGAAAGTAAAAATGAAATGATTAAACAGAGTGAAGGATATTTAATCTCAAATAAATTAACTTTTAGTACACCTTAAAAGAGACACTCTTCACTTAGTCACACGATTAAAAACGTAAATATAATTGTACACATGCATTGTATTAATTGTAAATATATATAAATGAGGATTGTTTTTTTTTTTCAATACAGGTTTCCCATGTTATGCAGCGGGTATTTTGCGTGTATCCAAGTCATTGAAGTAGGCATGCTGCAACGCAGCTCGTGCGGATATTCTGTATACAGGATCGTACGTGAGCATAGCTTGCAACAGATCCAGCCCATCCTCATCCAATGAGTTACTTGCGACTCCAAATTATTTGTCATCCAATTTGGAAATGTCGCTTTGTAATCTGACAATTGTGTAACGCCTGGCCATATCTCTTCTGTAGGTGTTCTCAGTATTCTAAAAACAAAATTGTGGTTATTAAAAGTATAATATATAAAAAAATAGAAATGTATATCCAAATCTTACCGGAATATTCTGAAGAGTTGATCAATCTCACTGTCTCCTTGAAACAATGGCTTCTTAGTTGCCATCTCTGCAAAAATACATCCAATACTCCACATGTCAATCGCACATGAATATCTAGTAGCACCAAGAAGAATTTCGGGCGCTCTATACCACAGAGTTACAACTTCATGCGTATATATTCTAACTGGAATTCCAAAGGCCCTTCCTAGACCAAAATCAGCTACCTTGATAATTCCATTCTTGTTAATCAGCAAATTCTGTGGCTTCAAATCACGATGGAATATTCTACGCTTGTGACAAAACAGAATTGCACATGTGATCTAAAATAATAAACAGTCACCTTAATATAAAAAAATTTGATGCAAAAATTTTCAGATTATTTATATATCTAATTTAATAGAACTGTAAACTGTCCTAAAAATAATTTAACAAACCTGATATAAGTATGATTTAACTACAACTGGTTCCAACAGTTTACTGCCTAAACTATCCATATATTTTTTCAGATCCATGGTTAGATACTCAAAAATAAGATACAGTCTTGACTCTTCCATTAATACATCAACTAAGCTCACAATGTTTGGATGAGTTAATTCTTTGAGCAATGAAATTTCTCTAATAGCAGTCGATGGTATTCCTTCATCGTCGCTTTCTAAACGAATCTTCTTCATGGCTACAATTTCTCCAGTCTTCTTGTGTTTTCCTTTATACACTACTCCATAAGTACCTATGAAATGGTAAGATTTGTAAATATATTGTCATATGTCATGTAATCTCTATTATACGTTTACATTAGTAATCAAAACATTTTAGGAGATTTACGTATAATTGAAATTGATCGTAGAATTTTATACAGAGTATTAACTGACAAATAACATACATTGTACTACCTATTTCTAACAAAATTATAATTCTATTCAGTTATATATATAAATATTCAGATGTAACACGTGTATACAAAGTTTACATCAATTTCATACAATATGATTTTATTATGTGATAAATATATAACAGAAACATCAGGATATGAGATTATGTTACAGATGCAATCAAAGCGTTGAAGAAGAGTAAATATCTATTCCCATAATGTACATAATACACGATGCAACAACTTGGCACCGAGTCTTTATTTAACTCACCTTCTCCGATTTTCTCTATTTTGATATAATTATCCATTGTGCTCTATCTGTCTCTCTCTAAGAAAACGTTATTTAAACACCATATAAAGGCACAGATCGCGGGATCCTTTTCAAGATATTACAAGGTCGATCCTCACTTCTACAAACTTCTCAGAGCATCGTTCACAAGCACAAGCCAACGAATAAATTCAAATCAAACGTCGGTCGCCATCTTGGTAAATATAAATGTCCATCTGCGCATTTGTTAGAGATTTTCGACTCACTGCGTACTTCCGCTTACGCCATGACGTAAGACTCGATTACGCGCGCATATTTAAAACAACTTATATCTTCAGGAATTTTTGAAAAAAATTATCAGGTACACTATCTTTATTTTTCCATTATCGTATATCATTATTGTCTCATTTTATAAATTTTTTAAATTAAATTAAATAAGCATGGATTACTTATATATAAATTCATATAATTTGGATAGGAAAATTGTTTTTCTCTCATAATTAGAAATAAGCGTAACTTTTATTTTTTAGATAATCTCTTAAATCTTTAAATTTATTTGCAATATTACAACGCACAAATACATAACTTTATTGTATTCGTATCAATAATGAACTCTGAAATTGGTTAGAGAGATTTGTTTGTCTTCACGATTTAAAGAAAATAAGAATTGAAGATATTTGGTGAAATATTTTTCTCTTTAGAAGTTTTTAAAAAATAAAAAACAAAAATAGCTATAATTTTCTTCATCATCCACAGGTATACTATCTTTATTTTTTCATTATCGTGTATCAACTTATTATCTCTCTCTCTTTATAAATTGCTTAAATTAAATTAAAGAATTAAATAAGAATGGATTGCCTGTGTATAGCACAAAACTATTTTTTTATATATATCTGTATTTTTGTGTGGATATGAAACTTTTTGCTTTTCTCTCATAATTAGGAATAAACGCAATTTTTATTTTTTAGATAATCTCTTAAATCTTTAAAATTCATTTGCAATATTATAACGCGCAAGTACATAACTTTATCCTATTGATAATGAACTCTGAAATCAGATTAGAGAGATTTGTTTTTCCACGATTTGAAGGAAAAAATAAGAAGATATTTAGTAAAAATATCTGTCGAACGTAACTATATTTCGTATATCTCTCTATCGGTATTAAATGTAATTAAACAATGAGGATGTGAAGTTTCAATGCACTTTATCGTGGGAACTGATAACCGCCAGTAGCGTAACCTAGCCCTACGCCACGTTGCGTGTGTGTAGTGGCTCGCGCCACTTCGTATTGTTGTTCCATATTGTTGAACATTTCCTCTTGCTTCTTCAGAATATCTGGTTTGGCTCCTACCATAGGCGAGCTAGGTAGATCACCCTTAATACCCATGAGTCGCTTGAATTTGGCAGACACTTTGCCATCCTGATCATGTGTGAAGGTCGTTCCCATCCAGGTATTGGCTGTGGAAGCTGCAGTCGACGTACTCTTACCATCGTCTTGCTTTGACTGCAGAAAAGAAAGGTAATTGTTAGAACAGGATTGTGTATTAGACACGTTAATTAACAATATTATCACTATTAATAATAATAATTAATTAACAATCATTACCTTGTTGGCCCACAGTAGCTTCCTCTTCTGGATCTGCTCCGCGTACTTGCCCTGGGTCGCCGTCGCCAACGGATTATAGTAATTCTGCTCGCTTTGCATACTGGATGCCACCGAATCACTACCACCTTCCGGCGGTTTCAGCTCTATACCCAGCTTCTCCAACTGGGCCAATTTGTTCCGTCCCTTCTCCTCTCGGTAACTCATCATCCTGAACGACGGAGGTGGAGCGCGATCTCTCGATCGTGACCTCGATCGCGTGCGATCCTTTTCCTTGTGGTAAGTTGAGCGCTCGTCCCGATGCCGGTCCTTTGATCGATCGTCCCTGGAATGTCGCCGATCCCGCTCTCGATCGCGATCCCTACGTCTGTCCCTATCATTCCTGTCGCGATTACGATCCCTTCTGTCGTCCCCCCTATAATGATGATCCTTGTCGCTCCTGTCTCGGTCGTCGTTCTTCTCGTCTTTGGATGATCCGAGTTTACGCTTATCGTCATCTCGACTTTTACGATCTCTACTTCGGTCTCTATGACTACTATTACTATCACGTTGTCTTCGATCGTCGTAACTTCGTCGGCTCTTATCGGACGTGTGACGACTCCGATCGCTGCGGTCCCCTCGCCTATGGTCGTCTTTCGAACTCGTGTGATTCTCGTGATCGGCGGCTCGCCTGTAAAACGATTACGTTCTGCAGGGGTATACCACACAGATGCGTATTATTATTCTGTACATATTCTGTACAACAGGTATGTAAATTTAATAAGATATACTCAAATTACTGTTTTTATATATTTATATGGAGTAACATTAAAAAGCAATTGTATTATTGTATTGCATATAGTTAACAAACCAGCCTACCTCTGGTCTGAAGGAGAAGGCAAGGCACGAGACAATTCCGTTCTCGAGCCAAAGGTAGGCTGCGCTGTTGAAGGACTATTTGCGCGTTCGCTACTAGATTCCCTGGATGAATTATTGTTGTTGCTTTCCTAGAGGAGAAAAATTATCAACTTTAATGTATGAATCTCTTACATATAATCTACTAGTAAGAAATAGCTCTTAATTTCTATCGCAAAAGCTATTTTAAGATATGTAACTTCAATACACGCAAAGTTGAATATTTTGACAGTATATACAATAAATAATATGTATTATAGAGAAACTTATAATTATATACATTTAGAGACAAAGTGGAAGTATTCTTATACTGAATACTAAAAATAAGTAACTTAAAGAATGTTTATAAAAAGTTTATAAATTCAGCTTTCTTGCATCCCTGGTTGTACTTGATATAAAAGTTGTACGACACATAAACATTCGTGTCGCTACATTTGATACAAGATAATGTATATATGATATTGTATGTTAATTACCAGTAGATAGGTAAAATGGAATCAATGTATGAAACAGTGTCATAAAAAAGAGAGAGGAATATGAGGGCCCTTCGCATCAATCTGCCTCTGCAGTTAGTTATCACCCGAGTATACTTGTACATGTGGTTTCTTTGATGGTTGATGTTTTGTTAGTGTTACCTTCTTCCAGCTTCCTCTACTCACCTCTGTCTTCTGAATAGGACTTGGGGTAGTCTTGAAAGACCCTCACACAGCATAGACCTTGCCGAGATGCGTAGATATTGTATCATGTATTACCAACAGAGCTACGTGTTAATATTGTCTCACGAAATGGCACTATTCCCATTTACTTATCATTTAAATTTTAATTATGTCAATGATAGAGCCTGATTATCCTGCGTTCGGTAAGGTTTCAAGGTCCTGTCTTTTTTTTTATATTTAGATTTCAAGACTAAGAAAGCGGACATTGATTTTTTTACCCATAATAAATTTATATGATAAATACCATTAGTTTATGCCAAATTACAATCCGATTAGAAATATAATCAATTTACAAATTAGTGCTACTGGCTCTTGCAAATAATAATTGTTTGCTACAGATAACATTGACTGATAATTTGACACGACCTTGCAAAACCAGATACTAGCCCCCTTATATATCACGCCTAAGACTTTGCATGTACATACAGTACCCATAAAGTCACTGCGGTATCTTCTTAGGCACAATTGTTTCGTACTTAATAACTAATCAAGGATTACGGCTGTGTGCTTTCACTGTACCTCACTCATGTCCATTTGCACCGGGTCGTAATTGGCATCACTAGCCCTCCTATTTGTCTCTTCCTGTCCCTGAGTTGGCATCTAAGGAAATAAAATCAATTATCTCACGCCTGAATGATACTTCCAACGCGAAACTAGTCTATTGATATTGCAAAAAAAAAAAACAAGATCGACCACAATTTATAATATATATGCATATTTTCGCGAAAGTGCAACATTTCCAAATAAATAGTATTTTTAGAATCTGGTAAATTGCATGCGGAATAACGTTGATTGGCTGCGCATAGAGGAGCCATGTCGAGCGATATACATATAGCGATTCGAGGCGTCCTAAACAGCGACGTACTAATCTAATCCCCGACTGCTCGACACCTGTCATCCTCCTCGCGATCAGCTCACCTTCACGTCGTCCGAATTGTTACTGTTGTCGCTGGCGTAATTCGCCAACGAGTCCATAATGGCGTATAAACGCAACGCAATCAACTGTCCGCTAAACCGTTGACTGCGTCTTGTCAGGAACGAATGTAGCGGAGTAGTGGCTCTTAGTGATTAGTGCTCGCGCTATCGTGGCGCGGCGCCACTGATGCGTCCCTCCCCTTCGTCTTCGCCTCGCGCACTCGTTCGCTATTGGTCGAACGAGTCGGGTCGGAATAGGTCGCTGAATAGTTCGAACGCGGATACGTATGTATCTAATCTACGTTGCATCGTGTAATTAAGGATACCTTATATTCATTTTGTACGTCTCTCCTTTGCTTCCTCTTCCTCTGCTCTGTAATTTCTGAGGATGTATTATTTATCATAGATATTTATTTGATGGGAAGAAGAAAAGGTAATTTTTTTCCAGATATATTATTTTCGATAACATTTCTTAACAATATATATATATATATATATATCATTTATATATACTTTTCACATTTTTATTTTTGACTAACGATTTTTAAAGCCAATTTCAACTATATATCTTTGTCTCTTTTCACATACGTTCTTAAAAAGAGACAAAAAATATAGTATTTGATTGGAGGTTAAATAAGTTAATCGATGTTCATGAAGTTGGCCCTAGATCGATCGATTAAACTTAAGAATTGCAACTGCAAAGCTTAAAACTAACCAAAATTTTACTCACATTTACAATAAGATATATTTATGTTTTTGCAGTTGGCAAACTTGCCAACTTTTATAAATTTAACCAGTCGATTAGTTAACCGAAGATGGTGAAACTGGCCTGGATTTTAATTTATAAATTCTAATAAGTAAATATAAATTATATATAAATTAATTTTACTTTCTAATTAAAATTACTGCACAATTATGAGATTCAATTATCTATCAATATCTATATTATATATATATATATATATATATATATATATATATAATTTATTTTTAGCAACTATAGCTATCTCTCTCATCTCTCTACATTCTATATATAGAATATAGATATATATTAATTTTCATCAATTATTAATTCGACTATTTATTTTGCAGTATACATTCATCCATGTATCGGATTTCTCATCGTGTTGATGTATACATATATGTATATATATAAGTATATGCAGAGGTTAACGAGATGCCTCCCCACGCAAGAAAAACCCGATCGACGATGTAAAAATAACGAACGTTTTCTACACATCGTCGAGTAACCAGTACGACATGCGTATTTTGCACTTCCTCGTCATCACCGACGCGATCTCTCTGTCATTACAATGTAATTGTAATTTACGACCGAGAAGAGATTGGAGAGGAACAAATTAGCAAAAGAAAGAAGTTAATAGATATATATTAGCTAATGTTCGAGAGACGCCACACCGAGGATCATTGATCAATGATTCGCAAGTAAACAGACGATCTTCTTATTTAAAAGGTATATATATATATATATATATATATATATATATATATATCATTAATGATATAGAATGAATTACAATCTCTTGCGTATTTTGTGTTTATTGTTTTTATTAAATTTCTCTATTTTAATTCTTCGATTTTATTAGAGTTAGAATTGATGTTCAATAACAATTTAATTAGTAATATAAAAACTTAATTATTGCTCAATAATTTAGAAAAATGAATTAGATGATAAGTTGATGGATATATATTGATGGAGAATTGGCTTCAAGTGACTCTTGAATCGCATTTCAGAGCACCTCTCTAGAAATTACGACGGCATCTAGACTGCAAGTCGCGTCATAAATCAAGAAAGATGATGTGCATGATTGAAACGACGGGAGGCTCCGCAGGGGTTAATACACCGAGGGTGTATGTGCAACAGCGGCCGGCTTCTCGGAGATATTCGAAGCCGAGAGTGTGGTCCATGCTACGTCCTCTCTCTACTTATCTTCGTGATAGAGGAAAGGTAGGCAAGAAGACGAAGAAAATGTGTGGGAGCACACACGTAAGTAAGAGTACCTATATATGCATATATGCATGGGCGTCCGCAGGATTTTTTCCAGGGGAGGATTAAAATTTTATTATTTCGCATCTTTTTTTATTTCTTATTTTTCGTTCTTTCTTAATTCTTTTTGTTATTTTGTTATTTTCATTTTTTTAATATTAAATATTAATATATTATATTATTCTTATAAATATTATATTAAATATTAAATTATTTTATATGACATATAAATTCAAAATAAATTTCTTAATTTTTCTATTATTTTTTTAAATATATTAAATATTAATAATTATATTATTATATTATATATATTATATATTATTATTATTATCATAAATATTATATTAAATACAAATATTAAATATTAAATTATATTATATTAAATATAAATTCAAAATAAATTCCAGTGTTTAAATAATTATTCAAAAGGGGAACAAATGTAAAATTTTTTACTGATTCCAAGGGGAGCAAATGCCCCCTCTTACCCCCCTGCGGACGCCAATGTGCACATGTATATGCACATCTATATACGTACGTACGATCTCGCATTGACGTTTACGCGCGAAGAAGCGCGGCGCGGCGAGCCAAGCCGGCTCGGTGACGCGCGCCGATTCGAGCCGAGCCGCCGAGTAGCGGCGAGTTGCGCGGGGCGAATCACCGGGACGGCAAGCAACAGTCGTTCGCCGGACTTGGTGTTGGAATGAGGTGGTCGCGAGATGTGCGCTCGCGTCCAGTGACACGATCTCTCCGCTCTCCCGCGATTATCCGCCGCGATATCGCTCCCGCGTGTGTTGTTCCCCTTCCGAGGATCGTCGACGCTTATTTCCCGAGTACGCACGCACGCATCTACGCCGTATTCGCGCTTCCGGATCGTAAGTACACCGAATTACATCTCTATTATACTCTATTGGATTTGTGCGAGGGATGCGATCGCGCGCGCACCTCCCGGGTTGCATCTCTGACCTCGAGAGGGTTGCTTGCACCGTACAATGTAGGTTACCGTTACATCCGACCTGATACGATGGGGCTTCCGTTCCGTGTAACAGCTAGCGTTACTCTGTAAAAATTTATATTCAATCCGAGGGTATTTTCGTGAGAAAATAAATCAAGGTATGTGGTCAATCGACGCGATCGGTGTAACTCTGATTTTTCTCTCGAGGGCTCGCATAATATATGTGGATTAGCGTTATGCAGCGATTAAATAATCTTCCTTCTCTTCTTTATGGCATAAGTACATACTGCGAATTGTGAGAATGAGAGTAATATTGTCGATCCCAATTGGTCTTAACCAGTGTGCGACTGATCTCGAAGGGCTGGTCGCACTAATGTAAGTCATCGCTAACTCTATCTACGGTATTTCCACTATGTTTACAGGAAATCATTAAATCAGTTTCTCCTTTTCTCATGTTTTATTACGAATAATCTACATAAAATGTCACCGTGCGGTGGCAGAGATAATTAGTGAGAGCTAACTTATATTATCGATGCGATTTGGAAAACTAGTCGAGAGTATCGTTCCGTGTCGTGTAAAATTTTGGCAAAAATTGCAATTTTAAGATTTCATCGTACAAACAATTGTCTATTTTTATAACTTCATTTTATCGTCGGCTAATAATTTTTCCGAAATTAAATCACTGATTCTTCCGTGAAAGAGAAACGTCTCTTTGAATTTCCGTTTCCATATAAAACTTTGTACGTTGACTTAATTAGAATTAATTTGCCGTAGGGAAATCGGAATTTGGAAAAGTCAACATTCCCGTTAATGGAACCTCTCGCAACTTCGTTGACGAGTTGGTAGCCAAGTGGCGAGACGTTCTCTTCTGGTTCTCCAACGAGATGAACGATGCTCTCGAACACGAAGCTTCGATAATGCAAACACCGAATAGTAACGAAGTAACGCTTCGTCGTCGACACTTCCCTTTCGTTCCATTCTCGAATCTAACGCGCAACCCGCTTTTCGACCGAAATCCCAACCAATTGTTTTTAACGGACCACATCCTCTTTTCGACCCTTTCATCCGTCCGCGGTTTCCAGAATCTCGGCCGCTTTGATGAATTTCGCCAATTGCGTTTGGGCGACTTCCCCGATTCGTCGCGACAATTGTTGTTTTTTCTTTTTTTTTCTCTTTTTTATTCCTCGATGTAAAAATATTAAATAAAAATTCGCATCTAGCTGTAATTTTTAATTATTTATATATGTACACAGTTGAAAAATTACGTTAAATTTAATAGATATCACATGCCCACAGAAATTTTTGTTAATTTTTTTAACATATGTTAATATTTTAACACAAAATAAATAATAAATGCTTCAAATAATTTAAAATAAATTTTGTGTAAAATTAACATTTTAATGTAAAATTAACTAAAAATATGTTAATTTTTTAGATTTTATCATCCCTACTTATATTATAAAATAGAAAATCAATATTTTTTTCTGTAAATTTTAACAGATAAATCTTGTCACTAATAAAACAACATATTTATTGTGTAAAATAAAAATTGTATTGTACATTGTGTTATCTTTACATCTTTTTTCAGTTGTTTTAATAATTTAACATTTAAGTTCAATTAACACAAGAACAATATGTTAAATTAACACATGAACACATTTAATACTCTTGTGTTAAATATTTAAAAGACAAAAATTTTAACGGAGACCGTTTTTAATAACAAGAAAACAAATTTTTCTACTGTGTACGATCTCTTTTCTCTTGATTTCGGGATATCGACAAGATCCTACCTATCCTATGAAATAATGTCACTGAATAATATCCACTCGCCACACATATCGGCTTAATCGACGCTCGTGATACGTTAGATATTAAAGATATATTGTGATATTGGCACACTCAATTTTAACGTCACGTCAGCACGAAAGCGCTTGTCTTAATGAATCGAGTTTGCTTCTCAAAGCTTATACGATTGGTCTAGAGATCGCTTGAAATTTTTTATTAATTCCAAGTTTGCGAACGATATATAATTTGTTCTCCTGTAGATCGTTCGTTATCCTTCGTTGTGCGAGAGGCAACCTATATAATTTTTAACTCGAGCGAGCCTGTCGGCCAGGAAATATCGGCAAAAAGCCTGATAAGCGTAAACAGTTTCATAGACATCGTGACTATCCGGCAATTTCTTCTCCCCACTTGGCTCTCATGACCCGCAATGCATCGTTGCATCACTATACGTGCGTTAATCGTTAATAATTTTCCTCGCCCGGTCGCCGAGCGAATTCCTGCTCTACTAAATAGTTCCCATAGAGAATTATCTTAAGCTGTGTCCTCGCTAGAGCAACTTTTTGTCGCTTATTGTTAAATGTTTCTAAATGATTCGACATATGTCAACTTGCGACAATATTATTTTGTCCAATGAAGTAACATAATTGCAGGAACATTTGGCTTTGTTCCTGTGTCACTGAAAATTGAAGGTCCACTGAAGGAACTATATTTGTTCCTTTGCGACTTGTTGATGCGTTGTTACTAATTTTTCTTTTTTTTCTTTTTTTTTTTGGTTGCTGTCAACAGAAACTGTAAGGAACTTAAAAAAACATTCGACAACAACTAGTAATTTTTAAAGAAACATGGAACATTAATAAAAGTTGCTCATCGTTGCTCCAGTGAAGACGCAATTTTATGCTCAAGAAATACTCTTCTTTTAAACAAATAATAATATTAATCGCGTAGCAAATTTCTGGAAACGTAATGTGAAATCGATTTATCGAATGTGAAAAAGCCGCATCTCTTCACACTTAATATATAGGATGAGTGTGTCGTTATAACTCTTACTGGAAATAGAATATATAGATATTAGATAGCTCTTGGATGAAGCAAGGCTTACTAGAATCATTCGTTTCAATTACATCTGATAATGCGATATGAGAATATTATACGGATTACGGAGAAATAACGCTCGAGTTTATATCGATCCGCGAGCAGGTACCATATCCAGAATTCCCATCGACGAAAGCGGGACATTTTGTAGGCTCGTTAACATTTCCCTTGAAAATAATCGAGGGAGTAATGCGTGATACGCCGAGATAAGGGAAAACCATTCTATTATTTCTTTCCATTTTTTTAAAGACTTGATAAATTTTTGCCCGCGATACTTTCAAAGCTACTGCTTATCTCTTTTTTCTTTCTGGAAATAGGTCGTAATTTTGACGAAATAGCGTGCAAACATGTAATATCGATTCGAATGTCGAATTATTCGAGAAAACACGGTCTCCGATCAAGTGACGCGCGAGCACCATTGCGAACCAGTTCGTAGGACTTCTATGCGCCGCCTCCTTATCACGTAAGATCTTCTCGCTCCAGTACATATATACGCACGCAGCGCAGTGTTGTATTGTATACACGGTGTGCCATTATACGCCAGCAGACACAGGAGTAACGCTCGTGTCACTCCGCGCGTAACGCGTGCGTTCGCCTCGCGACCTGAGCACGAGTGTTTAGGTCCGGTTGCATCTACTGGATACCGCAGCTCACAATTAGAGCTGTTTATTTTCAGAAATATTGACAATTTTTTCCATCGAATGTAGGTACCTAAATAATTTATTTAAGATTTTCGTTTAATATCGCCAACTCTCACGATGCATTTAATTTAATTTTTAAAAAATACACAACAAATAAATATTATACTATTAATATTATCGAAATTAACTATAATTTGTAATTATTTTATTTGCAAAATTTCTCTCGTGTAAAATGATGAGTTACGTCTACAACTTGTAAAATTCACTCAGCAAACTGACGTTATTAAATGTCAAAATAACGTCAGTTTGTTTGCTTTGGGAGATTATGTCAAAATTATGCCGAAATGAATTTTTGAGCTATCTTATTCTTGTACTGAATTATTCAAAATTGACTTTTGCGGCTATCTTTATCAAAGGCTTTAGAGCGAATATACGCATTAATGCTATATATATTTATTATCGCAAACGGACATTGCACAGTCTTGTTATACAGGTTCTTCGTTTCCTTGAAGGCACCTTCTTTCTATCAGTCGTTCTTCCATCTTTCGATTCGCCTCGTTCTCTCTTTCTCTCCTTCCCCCATTC